CATGTCTGTGAGGGAGGCAATACTACTGCTTCCATTTTGCACATGGAAAACTGAGGCACAGAGAAGTTAAAAGATGGTTACTACATTCCAGTGCCTATTTAAGGTGGTTAACATCTCTTTCCTCAAAGCAGTTAGCATTGTGCTTTGTACGCTCAAAGTCCTACTCTCACTGAAGTCAGCTGCAGCTGTTGACTCTCAGTACCCCTGAAGTCCTGACACCATGGTACCAGGATCAAGCACCCACAAAAGGAGAAACACAACAAGTAACAAACCCCTTTGAAAAGTAGGTAGCTCTTGCTCAGTTTCATGCAGAAAGTCTGGAACAGACTCCAAGTTAGAACTGAATTTCTCTCTCCATTCTTTCTTCCTCCACCTTGTTTACAACATGCCATTCAACATCCCCAGTATTCACTGCACAACATTAAACATCCCACCACCACACCGGTTCTGCACAGAGGACCGAACTTTCACCATTTCCTAGCTTTGAGTGCTCAACTCGGTAACCTCAATAACCTATTGTATGTCTGCAATTTCTTACGTTTTACAAAATGGCAACTAAAAAAAAGATTAAAAATCTACTTGTGGCCTCATATCAATTCTCATACGGGTAACCTGCAGTGCTGGAATATTTAGGTGCACAGCAACAGGCACAGATGCTACCATTTGAGCTAACGGGCCAACCATCAGCCCTACCAGACTGCCATCCTTCACACACATATGCACTGAAAACAGATGTCGTGCTTTGCCAGTGGATTTTAGACCTCTTTGCTGGCAAATGAACAAGGAGAATTTGGTATCCTGGGGTTGTGTGTGGCTTTGGAAGATGGCACATGCTGATACACACTGACCTTTCTCTGGCTGTCACACCAAAACATGGCCACTTCTGCCCTGTTCCTTGAACTTGTTCCTGTCCCACCCCTTCTTCTACTCCCCAGTCACACTTCAAAAATCCTGTTCTTCATTCCTAAGAAGTCCTTTCAGTCCCAGTCTCTTTGCCCAGCAAGTCCTAGTTCTATTTCTTTACTCCTAACCTCTGTGGTCCAAACTGCCCAGTCCCCCCCTCCACATTCTTGTACTTTCTGTCTCTTCTTTGCAGACAGGTCTCCAGGTTTGCTCTTCACAGGTTCCCAATTCTCATTCCATCCTCATTCATCCAATTAATCTAATCTGGGTGAACGGCCCTTCATCTTTTTTCCCAGTTTTACTTCCCCGGGTACCCTGCCTGATTTTCGATTACCTCCCTTGCTCCTTCATCTTCTTATCCTATTCTCATTGCCCACTTCTGCCTTCCCATTTAATCTAATCCTCACAAACATCCTCAGCTTCTAAGTCTTTCCTGTTCTTCCATCCTTGACCAGCCACTGCCTCAGTCTCTATTAGCACCAAGCCCATGTGCCTTCTGGACCAGTTTTCTTGCCCCTCTCCCTAGTCCATGTCTCTCAAGTTCCAACATCCTCGTTGAAGGATGTTGCAACAAATTTTCTCCTTTCTGCGTTCTGATAGGCGTCTTCCGCTTTCCAGCTGTCTATGTCAACCATAAGAGCACAGAAAGCAGACGACAGCGTCGCTGCTCTCACTCTGGCAGGACCCCGGCAGCTGAAGTGCAGTATCTGTAGGGGGAGCGCTGCACAACCACAACGTGGAGCTTCAGGAAATTCAGCTGCTAAAATCTAAGACTGTTCTACCAAGTCTGTGAAAAGTACAGTTTTTTCAAAGGCTTATGATTTTCTGAAGTTAGATATATTTTCATAGAATTGGTCTGCTCATGACACAAAGGTCTACTAAAGGTTTAATCCCTAGGTAGGGCTAATGCAAATTTTACAGAAAGGTCACCAGAAATTTTAGCACAGATTAAACATTCTTTCCTGGCCTGCATTTACAGAAATATGGCTGCAATGTTCAAATACGGCAAAGGAAAATAACAAATGATACACTTTCTCCTATACACAAAGTGAGTTCAGCAGAGTTCTAAGGAACTACACATTAGACTGTATAATAGACTAATACTAAGCTGTGCTAGCAGACCCACCTAAAATAGTAAGAAAAAATAATGCAAGATACATTTGTAAAATACAGAGAAGGCTGAAAATAAGAGCTGATAATTGGCTTTATAACGTTGCATTCACTTTAAACCAAATCTTAGCAGGTGTTTTTATTAAAAAAAAAATAATCTCCAAAATGCATACATGTGTTTTCTTTTATTTGACTTTTTAAAGTTTTCTAAATGATCTTGATTCATTAAGAGAGATGACAATGCTTGCAAAAAACCACTGGAAAAAAACCAGAAAAAAATCTAAAAAGATATGAATTGTGTGATATTATTAATTGCTCACTTCAATTCCTGGATTTCTGGCTCCTGCATATACCTCCATAGGAGGTATAACCCAGTTTTCTGAATACAAAATGTTTCAATATTAATTCCCTCATCTTAGAAAACAAGAAAAATATTCTGTTATCTGCATAAATATTCCATTATTGCTTATGTTTATACTGCAGCATTGCCTGCAATTCCAAACTAAGTGTACTGCAGAATTTATCATAGTTGGATATGTAATGTTATCACTTCATTGGTTGCCTTTACAGTTACTACAGCTTAGAGATCAAGGACATCTTCAAAATACGAAAATCTAGCATATTTTTAATTCACTACGGGTAATATATTGATACCTATCACAAAAATTTTATTAACTCCAGTGATGCCAACATATCACATTAAGAACTATGTCTTTTACAATAAAGATACCCTAAAATAAATTGTAAATATTTATAATATAAATGCACTAACTAAACCCATGTACATAATTAGGGATCTAAACGTGTTGCATATACATTTGCATGCTTAGCTAGAAAGATCAATGCTCTAACCTTTGCTTGCTTGTTTTTACGTTCCCATTAAAACAAGCTTTTTGACACATAAGTGCCACCTGTAGGAAATACTGAAGTATGCTCAAGTGCAGTCTTGTGCCAAATTAAGCATGGAGTTGCATATTTTACATGCCCAGTATAGGTGCCTCCTTCAGAAATTCAACCATGTATTGTAGGAAGCAATGACCCTGTATGATAGTGGCTTACTTGATGAAGATTAGTTTGTAAAGCCTACAGGATCTACAGGAAAGTTGTTGTTTTCCAGTGAAGCCTATTCAAAAAGGATTTAAAATTAAAAATACTACATTTTTCCATTTGCTTGTCTGTATGACGCTATTCCATAGCAATCGAGCAGTCCTTAAGAAGAGTATGTTGAGCCAAACAGAGTCTGCAATGATTAACATGGAGTACTTCACTACAATTACTTGGGGTAGACAAATATGAAGGATTGCATAATTTATCTATTTTCATTTCTCTCTAGTATTAATAAAAAGAAATATACGTGAAAAAGTGTTTTAACAACAGAATGGTCCAGCCTCCACAACTATAAACGTAGTTCAGTTTCTCTAGGCAGAGTTAGGCATGAGTGGATGGAACTGCATATTATATCTTGATTCAAACATAAAAAAATTCAAAGAATTTCCAATGCAGCTATAAAAGTAATTACTGAAAAGACTTTTCAATGCTTGTCAATTTCTTGAATACTTCAAGAAAAATAAAGACCTTGGAAAAATCCAGCATTTAAAATATTAAGTCTGCATAGGTCAAAAAAGTGAAGTATTTCATCACAACTGTTTTGTAAAAAAATAACTGAGAAAGCTGGACTGCCTCTTTCCATAGCCATCACCTATAACAATTATGCTCCAAAAATACACTCACAACAGGCAAATAGTTTCATTAATTCAGCTGTACCATTCACTGACACAGTATCTCCATTTCTCGGTATATTTACCAGGTAAGATATATTCCACACCCAAAGCACATTTTGCATCAAAAAATGAGAAGTTATTTTTGATAATTCAATGTCAAATGAGAAGATGAGAATAATCTGGTATATGAACACAAATTATATGCCACTCCTCAAGAAAATATTTTTTCATTGTTTGGCTATCAGTTTCTCTGTTCAGTTTTGTCAGTCATAGTTGTGCATAAATGATACTACTCTCTTCTACCGTAGTCAGCTTTCAGTGTTGTTTTAAGCACGTAAATTTGTTTCGGCTGTCCCTCATCACCACCTCACATTTATCCGGTTGCTTCGACCCAAATAATCTTCCATATCCGCACCTGCAACTCTAAAACCAAACTTCATCTGTTCGCCGGTCCAGCCGCGCCTTCCACGGCGGAGACCA